GCCCGCGGGCTTTAAATGTTTTTCTGCGGCCTTTTAAAGTAGAGTTTTATCTTTCATCGAATTTCTTCCATAAATAAATTAATTAGAATGTATTATTTTTCAATTGCATTAATTTATTAAATATTTACTTTATTAATATTATATTTTTGTATCATAATGTTTTAGTATATACCCAGCTTTTTGAATTATTTATTAAAAAGTGTGACCCACCACCTCGCTATGCCTTTTCGAAATGACTGAACATCAATATACTGCAGAAAGGAATTTAAATATTATTGTAAATGTATGTTCTTTAATATCCACAAATTCATATAAAAAATCATATAAAATTAGCCTTATATGGTTGTAAAATTATACAAAAAAATATCTTGCTTGCTGCAGTTACGTTTTTGCTAGAATGCGGCACCAAGTTGCTGCTAGATTGTTTTTGAATCTGTGCCGAGCGGTAAGGGTTATATTTTCATACATTTTTGCAACATGCGTACATTTTGGAACGATCGTTAATTTCAATTTTCAATTTTTTAATTTAGGAGTGAAAATATTGACTTAACATTTTAACAAATGTACCTACATAAATTATACAGTTGAATTATAAAAATTCACCAAAATTTAGAATTGCGCCCCGTTCTTAACCGATTCTAGTCAGAATCCATTCCTTTGATGCCTATGTGGGTTCCGTGCTTCGGATGCAGCTACTGATTATAGTTGACGTCCACACTTTAAATAATGCATTTTTAGAAAGAAATGATGGAATAAAATGGGTTCATGACTTTATATATTTATTTTCCTTACATGATAATAGTAGAGAAGATAAACATAAAATGATTTTTTTAATTTGATATAACAACTTTATTGTTAGATTTTTAGAAATTTTAATATCCGTTTTCCAGCTTGTTTTCATAATCTGATGGATTATTATTAGATTAAAATATATTTTTAAATTTCACCCCTTAAGGCTATGAGTATTATTATGTCCCTACACATATTTTACTCGCGAAGAACATTAACATTTTTATTTTCTTACGAATCATCAAAAGACATTAAATCTGACTTATAGATGTTTTTATAACTTTATCAAATTTAATCCTCGAAGTTTTCTGACGAGTAATTACATTAATGGCAATAATTTATTGCGGCTTTTGGTTTGAAACTAAATTTAATTACTTTGCATTGAGATGAAGAAAATATTAAAAAAATAACGCTCTAATTTGTTTTTGATGTTTAGAGTTGAATTTTTATTTTAAATATACTAGAAACTACTTACAAAAATGTAAAGTTATTTTTAGAATTTTATTTTTTTAATCAATTTGTTTTAGTTGAAACTATCAGGTATATTACTATCTTACAATCCTGATTAAATGCGTTAACTGTTGATGAAACTTGCCAACACATTTTAATGCATCTTTTTTAAGTCTTCTCATCTTTTTTCTTAGTTTGACTAATTTGAAAAATTTAAATTTATAGTTCAACAAAGTCTTAATTTTTGAAAACTTGGGGCAATTGTCATTATTTTTGACAGTGGTTCCAGAAATGTTATTTATTATTATGGTATGATTCAAGATTAATAAAAATCTACCAAAAATGGTCAATATTTTCACCGAAGCTCAAGGTTGCACTTAAAAGCCCATAACTTCCAAAGTACATGAGATAATTTTTTCTTTCGACTTGACGTTCAGCTTTGAGACCCCGTATATATGTATATATATATATATATATATATATATATATATATATATATCGGCTATCAAAATAATGTTCCTTATCCCAATCTTTGATTTCATATTATGTTTATGCAAATGCGAGGCGCTTGTGTTGATTCGCTGTATAAATATACATAATTCGTTACCCAAATAAATAAGTGGTGTATTGTTTGAAGTTCCAATTATCAAAGACGGATTTTGACTAAGAATAATATTAAAGCTCGGTAATCTCACATAATTACAGGTTGCTCTGCATCCTTTGCTATTTAACCAGAGTAATCCTTCGCAGTTGCCACGGCAAATTAGTGGAACAAGTCACGAAATCCCATTTCGCCCCTTGGAGTTAACAAGAATGTATGATTAGCACTCCATAAATACTCTGCGAAGTTATTACACCATAATTATTAGTTGGGATACAAATAAAAACTTATTCGTTAGAATTATGTCAGAGGTTACCCTAACAAATTTTGTGATTTTTATGAGGAGAGGCAAGAGAAGTTCCACTATAGACATCTATTTTATCTTTAGTCGTTCGAAAATGTAATTAGTCGTTCGAAAATGTAATTAAGTGTAGCAGGTATCTTTTATGGAAATTGATAGAAGACTTTTGTGTTAATTTGCTGCCCTTTGTATCAGTAATTTTATAATATTCATTGTTTCATTTGCGGGTATTACTACAGCTGAACAAGCTTCTGCGAACTATAATTTAATGAGAAGTAATAACACGTCCGAACAAATGAGTTGTAAGTTTTTTTTTAAATTCCCGAAG